GGGAGAACCCTACGGGAGGAAGTCACGCATCGCCAACAGGATGCACACCCAGCACTCACCCCCTACCCCTCCTACACACCCAGCCCTGCCTCCTCAGCCAGCTCCCTCCATGGCCTAGCTCCTCCAAGTGCACCCTGTACTTTGGTTAATATCGACACTTGTCCTTCCCTAAGTAATACAGCAGGTGGACGAAGACCAAAAACTTGAGTCTGTTCCTCCCGTCATTCTCTCCACAAACCCTGCACATTCAGGTCATTCTCATGCCTCCACGTCCAGACTACAGATGCCAAATGGCCCACAGGACAACAGCAAGAGACTCAGGAGGCAGCAGCCCTGAGTGTCCACACATGAGACACAGCTCCTGATCCGCTGGGGGCTTGCTCCCTACAGGAACTGAGCCTGGTGACCCAGGGCCCACAAGTTATTCGGTGGTGACCCCCAAATCTCCTGCCGTGGGCTGCAGACACAGACCGCAGTGGAGACTGGGGAGTGACTGTCCTGGTGAGACTGGAAAGAGTCTGAGGTCTGAAGGAGGAAGATTCTGAGCCAAGGCTCCCAAGTGAAGCCCTGCTCCCCACTCACACACACCTGACCAGCATCCTACTGCACTCAATGCCAGCTGACCCCTGCTCAGACTCCCAGCATGCTGGGTGGACCCCCTTCAGCTCAGCTCCCAAGACCACCACTCTCCAGCCCAGTGTTCCTACCCAGCCTGACTGCTTCCCCCATGAGTGCTCCCACCCTTCAGCAGAGATCGCTCCTCTTCCTCTCCCCAACACCGGGCTTGCTGTCCCCAGAGGCCCTGCCACCTCCTCTGCCTCACTCGGGCAAAACACCCACAGCAAACACCAGCACAGCCCTTAGCATGGCCTGGCCCTGAGGTAAGCACTCACCCAGAAATGCAACAGACTCTAATGAAGTGCTATGGATACCACTGAGGAGAATCCCACAGGACTCCCAAAAATGAGTCACAGATCACGGCCCACACAATGAATAAAAGGCTCTGGACTGTGGAGAAAGCCACTGGTAGCCCAAAAAGAGTTATAGCTCACTGCTGCCCACAAACAAGCAAAAACAGGAAATAAAAATGGAGTCACTTATGCTAAGCCAGAAGCTGATGACATCACTTATGTCAAGCTCAGCGCTTGCCAGAAAGATGCTCCTCATCAGACTGAACAGACATCCCTGGGCAGTCTGATAACCTGTATGCTACAGACGACAACCTCAAGTTACCTTCCTACTCGCACAGGGATTGGCTGCACCCCAGGAATACTGCAGATACACCCTGTCCTAAACAACAGATTGGTGGCACCCCGGGAAACTCCCAGAGGGAGCACAACTGATTGGTGACACCCTACCGCTCCTGGAGACTCTCCCTTCAAAATGACAAGGATAAAAGGATCATGGTCCCGGTGTCTGTGAACCTCTGGATCTTCACACATTCAGAGCTGAAGAGGCAGCCCGTTACACATGGATCTGTAATGGCACAAGATGACAACCGATCAAGGGCCCAGTGCATGTGAACCTCTGGATCTCCTTACACATGGAGCTTAAGAGCCAGCTCACTAGCCCCCTTGCTAAGCAACACACGGTGACTACAGGACCAAACCCCAGTGGAGCCACCGCCTCGCCTGGACCCCTTATCAGCCTGCTGCCTGGCCTGACCACACAGCTGGACCAGACCTCTCAGCAGGGGACCTCTCCAACTCCTTATCTTGTCGTTCCCCTGGGAACTCCTGGCTTCTGCTCAGAGTGACAGCCATCCCACTACTGCATGCCTGTAAGTGACTGTTCTGAGATCCATCTCTCCGAGTGGTAATGAGACTCTGGACTCTGGACTTTGAACTTTCACTTTTTGGGAATGTGATAGGAACCTTAAGAACACAGCATTTATAATGATATTAGCCATATGTAATAGGAAGGAATGTGCCTCGACCCTATGATTAAGAATGTCTTCTGCTTCGCTGTACTTATATTATTACAGTTGGACTGCCTTTGAGATTGCTTGATGCCAGGTGTGTGTTATGATGTGTGGAGTAATGAACATAACTACAGAGATTGGTTTGCAGTGGGAAAGCCCTAGTGTGAATTGGAGTGAGCAATAAAAAGCCTTTCATTGGGAAGACAGTGTCGTCTCCGTGTGTTCCTTCTTCCCTATGCTCCGACAATTCACCCTTGAGCCCTGTCGAAATGCGTGACAGCAAACACTCACTACATACCACCACCACTGCTAAACTCGGGAGACACCCACACTGTACATTCACTCCATTACAATTAGTAACACCTCTACAGCACACCCTACCCCACAGGCCCCACAACTCTCAGGTGGACACGGCTCCCCCACTACTGCAAAAACCGTCTCCATAAGCCACTGCCACTTCTACAGATTCCTCCAAGTAATTCTAAGAGTAAGGCAGTGCTATCCAACTCTACCAGACCACTCTTCCAACTCCTGGACCCTCAGCTCCAGGGCAATCTCTAGGAATTCACCCTACTCAGATACCCTTTTTTATCCTCTGTTCACATCTCTCGCTTTAAAGCACTGTACCCCGTTGCTATCTTTTGTTGTGATATTAGCCCTTGACTTTGTCAGAAACCAGCCAAACCGAATGGACCCATAGCAGAAGACTTCTCTCAGCACTCTCTCTCTTCTGGGTTGCATGCTTTACTACGGTCTGCTGCTTCTAACCTGCTGCCCTTTTTGTGGTCCCCAATTCTATATATCTCTCACATCCTCCCAAAGCCTCTACACAGCTCTCATCAATGCTTCCTCTCGTCTCTTCTTTGAACATAACCCCACCATCACTTCATGCGGGATCTGTACATACTCTTCCCACTTCCCAGCCAGTCTGGACAAAGGCCACAGGACTGAAGGGATACCCTGTACTTTCCCCAAAATAGGAAGAATTCAACCAACCTTATATACCTATCAAAGGCATTTTCTCTGTGCTTCGCTGACAGGTCAAGCCCTTAAACGCATCCTACGTGTTCCCTTCCCTTTTTCCATGAAGCAGGATCACTGTCCCACAAACTCTATAACTGGACGATTACTCTCCCAGCCTCCCCTGTTTCCTCCATTTCCTTCCCCTACTCCCACAGGTTAGCGAAATTAGCCACAAAGGCAAATACTCCCACTCTAACTGAACCATCACTGTCAGGACCCAGCCCAAGGATGCATTGGTGAACATGCGGGGGACCATAAATAGAAGCATTCTTGCTCTGTGGCATCTAGCTGTACAACTGTCTTCCCATGAACTGGACAGGCACGTGTCCTCTCACGTTCCTATTTCACCCTTTCTCCTATACTCTCAACCAGACTTGATGTCCCATACCTCAAACACCCCATGTCAAGAGTGACTTGGACTTAGCAACCCTTCTTCCTTGTTGGGTGTTTTTTGCCAGGGATTGGGCCAGGAGCAGCCAGACTGGCAATTTCAGGAGACAAGACAAAGAAATACAAAGAATTATGTCTCACTCTCAAAGAAAACATAAATGACCCAGCACCACACCTGTCTCACTTCCAAGACCAGGTAGAGTCCTGTCAGCAGTGGTCCTGCAAAATCACTGAGGATTTAGACGTCCTCACCTCCAAAAAAGGAGGACTTTGCCTCTGGGTAAAGAGTGTGGGTGTGGCGAGTGCCGCCATAGCTCAATAGGATAATCCTCCACCTGCTCGCCAGCACACCAGGTTCTGGTCCCGGTTGGGGCGCCGGATTCTGTCCCAGTTGCTCCCCTTCATTCCAGCTCTCTGCTGTGGCCCAGAAGTGCAGTGGAGGATGGCTCTAGTGCTTTGGCCCTGCACCCGCATGGGAGACCAGGAGGAACCACCTGGCTCCGGGCTTCGGATCAGTGTAGTGCGCCGGCCCCAGTGGCCATTGCGGGGTGAACCAATAGAAAAGGAAGACCTTGCTCTCTGTGTTTCTCTCTCTCTCAGTGTCCATTCTGTCAAAAAAAAAAAGAGTGTGGCTTGTACACCAGTCAGTCAGGTGCTGTGAGAGATGCTATTGAGCACATTGAAAAGCATGCTAATGAAATGTAAGAATGCATTACAATACCCTTGCCACATCTTAGCCATCTTTGCCACTCTGGGTAACTTTTCTACTACTTTCTTTTTTCCTCATAATCACGGTGCTTTATTCTTATGATATATAATTGCACATTTCAAAAGTGCTCACAGGAACCAGTGACTGCTAGATCCCAAGACATCCCGCAGGAACATCACAAGACTGCTCTTCTTCTCCAGTCACTCTGGACTACAGCCCTGCATCAGCAGGAAGTGGCCAATAGGACACCAGCACCCATCTCTCTCTCTGTCCTGGGAGTAGGAATACAGGACCTTGAGCAACATCATGGGCAGAAGAGATGCCGTGTTACAGCCACATCACTGCCTCAAGAGTTCAACCATTATCCCCAGCACTCTGGAAGGTTGAAAAAGCCAAGGCAAACCATCTCAGCTCTGCCTAATCCCTGCCCAGCCTGAACCAAAAGTACCCAGGCTAGATAAGCCCCAGTCTCTACCAGAACGTGTCCCGACCCTCGCTAGTAGTGGGCCCTCAGGTCTGTCTCTGAATAAACAGTCTCTAGCTACTGAGTTCGTAGTTTGTAGTCTGTCTTCCCTGTGTCTTGTGCATATTGTCTAAAACACCATCAGGGAAAGAGCAAACCAGACAACACCAGCATTCAGTCCTCGGTCAGGGGAAACCATTAGATGGATTCCCGGCAAAGGAACATTCCGTGTGTTTGAGTTCAGTTGCTTATTCATCCACTGATCCACTCCCCACACACATGCAATGGCACCAGGGGCGAGCCAAGAACCAGGAAGTCACCCCAGATCTCCCTGACAGGTGGCAGTAACCCAAGCATTTCAGCCTTAACCCCCGAGGATCTCTTTAGCAGGAAGGTGATACACATGAAACCCAGGCACTCTGATACTCTGATGTCCCAACCACAAAACACAATGCTCACACCCCACTTTTATTCCCAAATAAAACACCACTCACCTGGACGGATACTAAAATGTCCTGCCAACAACACCTCAGCCAGCACACGTCTGGGCCAAGACTTCAACTCAGATGAGACTGAAACCGCAAGTTGTAACCAGGAACCTATAGGAGGAAAACACCCTCATGTTTCAACTGCCTTGGAGAACCTAAGAACCAATTCACACCTACCAGATGACAAAGAGAAAGATGTCTGCTGCTAGCAACACAAACTTTGGGATTCTCTACTGAGTCCACCGTGACCTCAGCCATAAGACCAAAAGGGCCTCACTTAGAAATGAAAGCTTGAAAGGGCTGGGCCCTGTTGGCAACCAGTCCTCTGCCTGTCACGAGCTGTTCAACCACAGCCCTGACACAGACAATAAAGATGCTTCCTGCTCCCCCTCTTCCATGGCTTATAAAGGAAAGGGGACCCCTAAAGTGAAAGTAGGGCAATGCCAGGGCTGAGAAAAGATCAGCAAGGGGGCTCCAAAGTCAAGTCCACTTGCTGTGCTGTGGCACACTGTCCCCTAAACTGCTCCAGACTACTTGGAAAAAAAAAAAGAGGGTTCCTTTTTGTATGTAGGATCCAAACTGAGGAGGCCCTCCCTTAGTACCATAATGGGGAGGTGGAGGGCTCAATCTAAGGCGCTGTGGAAGAGGTAGCTGTGATCCAGACACGCACCCTTGAGGGCAGCCAGGGCCTCCACCAAGCCCACCATCAACACCATGACCTCCCCCGGGAGTCAGGAGCCACCAAGGGAATGAAATGGCCTGACCCCAGATCAAGGCAGTCAGCTCACCCTGTCAGTGCTCATCACCAATTTCATAGTGTCCCATGTCTACAGGGAAATACACTTCATTGTGTCTATTCATTCAAAATAGGCCCAGCACTCAATGTCAAGTCTACCATTGCTTTAAGAAAAACAAAGAGCCAACTGCAGTCCCCTCTCCTTGTCCCCACCCTCCCAGGGAGGAGCCCCAGAGCAGGTGGGCCTCAGAGGCTCTAATTCAGCCCCTTCCCAAGAAGAGCTCACTGCCCAGAGAGGAGGGGAGTGAGGCCTTCCAACCAGGCTCTGCTGGGGGGGGGGGGTGTTTATCCAGACGCCCACCAGGTGCAGGCCTCTTTCTGCTCTCACCCAGACAGAGCACCTCCATCCCACAGCCTTGCTTTACCCTCTGTAATATGGAAGGTCTGATGGAGACCACGCATTGGCCTCCTTGCCACTCTAAACGTCTGTGCCCATTTTGCTTGCATGTCCCCACATCTCTGGGAACAGCAGATCCTCCCTTAAAGTAGGCAACGCCCACCCAATCCAGCTTGCTGCTGAGAGGGGCCAGAGCTTTTCTGGAATCCAGGCTGAGCCCTTGCCCCACCCTCTCCCAGTGCTTCATTCTAGACCCAGCCCCCTCCTCAGACAGCCAGCCTCTCATTTAATCCTCCCTGCACACCTGGCCACAGGAGAGACAGGCCTCCAGTCAGCACCTGAAAACCCCACCTCTCTCCCAGCCAGCAGGGGTCTACACCTTCCTGCAGAGAAGAAGGCCCTGCAATCCCTGAAGGGAAGTGGCTGCATGCTCTGCCCCACCGCAACTGTGCAGGAAGAGCCCAGCAGGTCGGCCAGCACTTACCAGTGGTCCGGGGGTGGCACAGGCCGGGGACAGGTGCCAGGCGTGGGCACTGCAGACACAAAGGCGCTATGGCGGTTTCGGCGTCTGGGATGCCAAAAGAGACTTCCAGCACCCAGGAGCACAGGAGAGAGCAACCCCATGCTCCCTGGGCACACAACATAAAGGTCCTGAGCCCGGAGTCCGCCACCAGCTTTCGACCGCCAGGGGGCGTCTGCTTCAGCATTGGTGCAGGCCACTGGCAACTGACATTTCCAGGGACCCCGCAGGCAGCAGCAGTTTCAGGAATCCAGAACCATGACCTCAGTCCCCAAAGCCGGGTTGGGGTGTAAAGGCCCCCATCGACCGCGGTGCTAAGAGTAAAGCAATGCAAGCAGCAGCCACGGGACTCGGCCCAGGAAGCCACCGGGAGCTGGCATCCCAGCCCCTCATCTGCAGGCACCATGCGGGGAGGGGTGCGGGGAGTGCCCCAGCATGGGGGCCTGCGTGTGGGCTGTAAATGCCGACTACTCTGTTAGAAACTTCTAATAAAGTATTTAGGGGGAAAGCTTCGGATACCTCCAAGCACGCCTGATGAAGAAAATGTTTCCAAAATGGCGTCCCAGAGGGAGGAAAGGACGCCATCGTCATGGCGGCCTCCTCTTTCCGTTACCCGCTGCTGTGGCCCATTCGGGACTCGCCAGGGACGCTGGGAGGCAGCACATCCGGGTGTCCGCAGTCAGGGTCCACTGGCTTCAGGCGTCCCCACATGCCGAAGTGAAAAGTAGGCCATGGGAAGAAGGGTTCCCCCAAAGAAACTACCCCCATCGTCTGCCTGGGCTTCTGCAGCAGGGCGAAGGGCATGGCCAAGGCCAGCCACAGACCAGAGGGCCCCTCCTGCTTCCGCCCGGGCCAATCTTCATACTTCCTCAGTTCAGCAAATGGCAGCCGTCTCCTCCCCTGGCGGAGAACTGCACCGCGCTGTGAGGAAAGCCTAGCTCAGGTCTGCAAGATCTGACTCAAACTGGCTTCTTGCTGCTTCGGTGGTGGTTTGTGGCGGTCCAGCCACTCTGAGTTCAGTGTAAAAAATTCTGCTCCCCGGGCACATCAGGAAAACAAGCTCTAGGCAGTTTACAATCCCTGCCCCTGTTCCACATCTCCCCTCCCCATTTCGCCCAAATCCTACACATTAGGCTACAAGGTGCCCCCTGAGACATTTCACTCCCACTCTGGGGGGTAAAGCACGAAGTCATGCTTTTGTAACTACTTCTTGTTGATCCTGGACATGGCCCAGGCTGGTGGAGAGACACTCTCCTACTCAACATCAACAAAGGACTTCAGACACCGGGTGTAGCCCCCAGAGGCTGTGGGCAACAGGGCAGGCGTCTAGAGGCATCCTCACCTGACATTCAACGTGGCGCCCTGTTGAGCAGCAGTCTGAGGTCTGACAGGGGCTCTCCAAGGAGCCATCCGGGGTGCAGGAGAGACAAGGAACTTCCCTGCTCTCAGCTGTGGTGACTGCAAGGAGTCCCATGGAGAAGTTTAGGAGAACAATCAGTGGTAAACAGCGCCAAGTGTGGTCCTGCCCAGAAGGAGTTAAACTGCTCCTGAAGAGAGCTCAGTTTACAATCAAGGGGGTGGGCTGCCTAGTGTGTTGGTGAGACTAGGTCTGAGGTGCACATCAGATGAGAGCAGCCACTACCTGTCCTCATTGTGTTGTCTTGTTCTCATTTCCCACCTTTGGCAGGTTAAGGGGCCAGCCCAATTGGGAAAGGGCCTTCCATAGATAATTCAAAGGGGCTGAATCCTAATTCCTTTTTGTGGCTGCTCTAACACAGGCTAAGGCACTTGGAACAGACCTTTAAGCACTTCTCATGAATTTCTTGGCAAAGGCTAACTGATTATATGTAGGGTCTCACTGGATGGTTTCCAGACAATTGGGGTCTCCAGGCAGCAAGTCATTTGTACCTTATGCCTAAAACCTAGGGACTCCAGCCATCTTGGAAACCAAAACCTATCCATTACCACTTTGTCAATGATATGCAGCCCACATCTCCAATTTCCCTCTACAGACTTTTATACAATATTATTTCTGGGAAATAGACACAGATATCACACATGTGCTGATTCACCCCTGAAATGCCACTACTGGGGCTGGGCACTCAATTGAGGTCTGACACATGGGTGGCAGGGACCCAACCAGTTGAGACAGCATGTGCTGCCTCCCCAGGACTACATACACAAGAAGCTAGACTCAGAGTGGAGGTAGGCCTGGAACCTTAGCATCACCATGTGGGATGTGTGTAACCCCACAGTGTCCAACCTCCTGCTTCAAATCCCACCCTGAGAAGCTTTCAATGCCTTAGACATGCACTGCTGCTCCATCCTGACTTAGACCAGGAACGTCTGATTTCATAGCCAGTCTCTTCCCAGGTGGGATGCAGAGCTCAGGAAATGTGGGAGTCAGAACTTTTAAACCAGGCCACAGGGCAGAGGTTCCACTCCTCTCTCTGTCTGCTCTCACTGAAACTCCTTTAACAGCTCATTTTGTGACTCCAGTGTCCATCCTCTATCTCTCCAACTCGTCCTATCTCTAGGGTAGCCAAGGGCTTCACACCGGATTTGGATTTTATCCAGAGGCCATATGCAGAGCCAGTAACCCATTGGACTTCTTCTGTTGAGGGGAGCTGAGCCCTTCCCATCTGGGGACACCTGGGCCACTCCTCACCAGTGTCCTTCCAGCTTGCTGTAGGCACATGGGCGAGGCTCTAAATTAGCCGCTGACATATGGATGGGCGCTTTGTGGTTTCACGCTCACCCCCATGTCAGTGTCCCTCATCCTACTGGGGTCCCTGGAATATACAGGAGAGCCAGCAGCAAGCCAGCAGCCTGCCTCCACATCTTTCTACCCATGTAGATATTCTCCATGTGATATTCTCCATGTTATGACTTACGAAACACAGTAGGCAGTGTCCACCAATAAAGAGGAATAGCCTTAGCACTGATGGTGTTTAGGTTTTCTGGACACTCTGAGATAGGCAGCACCTGTTAGAACCACCCGACTTCCCTGGGCATCAGGGTCCCAGGAAGCCTGCTTTCTATCCTATCCTCTTTGGGATGTCAAGTTACAAGAGTCAGTTGGGGGATGGCTTAAGTCCAGATTCCAGCTTAGAAAAGTGTCTGTCTCCCCCTCCCCCTATGGACAGGTACACAAAACTGGTGAAACATGAAAGCCTCTAGGGATGGGGGAGCAAGAAGAATAAAATCCCAGATGTACCTCAAGTGCTGGGAAGGCAAAGCCAACATCACAGTCATCCACTTGAGAAGCATGAAATTCCCTCTATATTTCTACCTATAGAAGGCAGAGGTCTCTAACCCTGAATAAAGTGGCCCCATGCTGTGAAGCAGGGAAGGTCAGACCCAGCAACCCACAGACCAGGCTCAGGGGTTCTCAGACCTCTCCCTTTGCACTCCTCTGTCTCCCAGGGGAGAACCTGACACCAGCATTCTGATGTCCTGGCAATGGCTGTCCCTTTCTCCTCCACAATTCTGAACTGATGCTGAACTTCCGGTCCTGGCAATCATGTCTACGATAAGGAAGACACTTATCAAACTGCCCAAATGACTCAGCCCTGATTCCCGTGAGATGCTGGACAAACAGGAGTGCAGGTGAACGTGCACCTCTCAGCTCTCTGCATCAGCAGCTCAGCATGGCCAGGTCCCAAGCCACACCTGAGTGCCATAAGGTAGACTAAGTGTCCTCAAGACTAAGTGCTCCTGGATGTGCTGCTGCCACCATTGCTCAGATCTTGGTGATGGACAACTTGACCCAGGATGCAGCAAGTGTTACCCACAAGCTGCCTGGCACTCTTCAATCTGACAATACCAACTGCTTTAACTCCCAGTTCCCAGAAACCCCTACCCCAGGTTAGGAACCATCTCACATCTAGAGTGTTTGTGCATCAGTACAGGTGACGCCAGGCCTAGGGGTTCCTTGGCACTACACAACTGATGGCATCTGTTGCAAGCACATGCTAGAATGATCCCCAGAAACCACAAGAGAGACTGAGAATGTCCAGAGAGGGACGATGAACTGTGCAGGCTCAAACTCGTACAAAGATGAGAGAGCAGGTCCAAGCCCAGCTGTGGCACTGTCTGGGCCCAAGCCAGCCCTGTGGCAGGTGCTGCCTGTATTGGTGCAACTGTGGACAGTGGGTACATGGCGTAGGGGTAAAAGTAGCATAGGCAGTGCCCAAGTAGAATCTGAGGATATCTTGTGTGAGGAGGGGGCTCAGCTTAGGAGCCACAGGAAGTGACCTCACTACGTTGGTGATGACCTAGAGAACTGGGTGCCCCAGCAACCACCCCAACATTCCAGAGTTGAGTCTAAGCCAGCTCACCTGGATAGAGTCTCGTAGCAAGATGTTCCTGAGTTGTATCCCGCGATGCCGAAGCCCAGGCCCCAAGAAACCCTGCTGTGGGCGCCTCGCCCAGTGGTGGGGACGCTGGGCCAGCCCTCACCCCCGATGCTCCTGGAGCTTCAAGCAGAAAAGGCCAAGGTGAGTCTGGCAGCCAGGGCAGCTCTCTGCTGACCAGGACACCACTGAGACCCCACTGGAGCCCACAGGCCCGTGGGTGTGGGTGGACATGGTCCACTTCACCCTTGGAGGAGGGAGCCTGAGTTAAGAGGCGGGGGCAGCCTGAGGCCCAGAGCTGCTGGCTGTGGAGGGATCCAGGGACTGCCTCTTACCTGCCATTCTCTGCTCTTGTCTCCCAGGTCCAGGACAGGGCAGCCTCGCACCTGGCACAGCACAGCGGGCTGGGGATCTCAAGCAGCCCAGACAACCCGTAGGCCAACTAAAACTGATGACCTGTGTGTAGTGGGGGAGTGGTCAAACTCACCCACAACTCCAAAGCTCATGTATCGGGCATTCCCCCAGGCGCACAAGCCACCTGAGGGCCCCCTCAGTCACTTAATCTTGGTAAAGGCCCAGATAGAGCCCAGGGGGTCCGCAAATGCCCATCTCACAGTGGAGGCACTGGGGCTCGACGACTTCGCCTGTTCCAGATGGGGAAGCAAGGCTCAAGGCTGGGCCTGGAACCTGACCTGACAGCTGGGGCAGAGCAGAGCCATGACCTTCAAGCAACAACCCCACTGGAGCAGTCATGGCCCTCCAAAGATGAGTGGGGGACAGCTGTGTCCCCAGCTGCAGCCAAGGAAAGCTGCAGGAGCACCAGACACAGCACTGGCCCCGGCCTCAGCCCCAGCTCCGCAAGTCCCTTCTGCTGCAGCCCCAGTGCCACACCTGTCCTTTCCCGCCCCGGTGTTCCTGTATTTCTCTTTAATCCTCCCCATTGTGTTCCTTGTCTCCACCTTATTGTCGCTTTACCAAAATAAATTTAATTGATTACCCACTGCGAAATGTGCAATTCACACCATGCGAACTCCCCATACTGTGCCCTCCCCACCCCACTCTCCCTGCACCATGGCCCCAATGCCAGGGACCTGGAGCCTCTGGAGAGGACATGGGCACCTCCCCAGGGGCAGAGCCAGGGTTCCCCGCTTGGATAAAGAGCACCAAGTGCTGGGACAGCCAAGGAAAGCAAAGAACAGGGAGACGCTTGCACGGCTGTGGCAGTGCCTCCTCATGCTCAGGGACATGGACTCTGAGGTCACAGATCTGACCTGCAGTGGGTGTTCTCCCTGCAGCCTCAGTGTCCTCATCTGTGAGATGGGAAGGCAGCCCTGCCACAGCCATCACCGGCACAGGGAATGCGATGCTCTGCACCTCCCTGCACACATTGGGACCCCCTGCTTCCAGTATGAGGAGTACACAAGAAAGGGAAGGGTCCTTACACTGAAGGCACAGTTTGGGTCCTGGGGCCACACACACACACAGAAGCCATCACAGTCTCTGTCCCTGCACTCAACAATGGGTCACTGGCAGAAGGATCCGAGCAGGGATTTGCTCACTGCTCAGGAGACAGGGGGGCCTTGTCTGGGACCCCATGTGCCCCAGACTGCCTGGTGTGCAGGTGACATGGGTGGGTCTTGGCTGGGAACATGGAGACACAGAGGATGTCCCCAAGCACAGTAACTGCTCTTTCTGAGCTCCTGGGATTTCCCAGCCCCTGGCCAAGCACACGGGTGACCACGTCTCAGCCATGGGGAGGCACTGCTGTCATTCCCCAATTTGCAGATGAGGAACCCCCAGAGAGCGAGGCCCCACCCAGGTCACGGCTGTGCTGATCCCACATGAGGACTCCCCTCCCCACCGTAAGCCCAGACTGTCAGGCCCCGATGACCCTGTGGGCAAACAAGAGGGCAGTACAGCAGGCCAGGAAGGAGTGGGAAGGGTAGGACTTCTCCAAGACATCATAGCCACAGGGATTTACTTAACAGGCTTCTCAGCTGATCCACTAGGGCTGAGGGATGCCTGTGGAGGAGGAAGCTGGGGCACTGGAATGCTGACCTGTGTGTGTTCCTGGGAATGGCCTGGATCACACCCACTGACAGCACTGGCCCCATGACTGTCCCTCTGGATAATTGTCCCAGATCACCTGCTGCCTGTGCACCCTGCACCTGGAACCTGGAATCCAGGTCAGGCCAACTGGAGGGAGTGGGTCGGCACTGGGTGCACCTGTCCTGCAGAGTGCCAGGCAGCTCATTTTGGCTGCTTGGCAGGAGGGCCCCAGGGATTCTGTGCTCCCCAGCACTGGGAGGGCACAGAGTGGGGTGTCCACCACTCAGGACAGGACGAGTCCCCATCTCAAGGTCATGAGCTCATGGTCATGTTAGTCCAGGTCCTGGGGTCTAATAGCTGGAGCCCACCCCCAGGAGGCTGAAGCTGAGGGTCATCTCACCATGTCCAGTGGTGCAGCCTGATGCCCTGATGAACTGTAGGGTCCTAGAGAGACAGGCTGCCCAGGACAGTGGACAGAGCGGGCAGAGGCCAGAGATGCAAGCCCGGGCTGTGTGGGGAGAGGTGAGTATGAACAGCTGAGGGGCTGAGCCCCTGCAGGCCTCTATCTTTGCACGCGGTCTCTCACTGTTGTCCTGACCACTCAGGGACTATGGGCATGTGAGGTCCCCCTGAGGCTAGAGGCCTGCTCTCTGCAGTCTACTCAGCAGCAGAGCCAGGTTTAACACAAGGAGAAGCCAGAAACCCTGGGACTCCCTTGAAAATGAAGCTGCACCCAGATGCCTCTGGGGACCAGCTGCCCTGCCTACAGGTAAACTTAAGTAGGCCCAACAGACATGTGTGCACCAGAAAGCGCTCTGCCACCCAGGATTGCGCCCTCCCCAGTGTGCTAGCCTCAAGTTCACATAGCAGGACAGGCAGACAGACATCTGGACCTGGAAAGTCTTCTGTATTTCCCTGGTGGTGGGAACATCTGGGCAGACGACAAACACAGCAAATGATGCTCTAAACATCCAATGACCATGACAGAAAATGAGCCTCCACACCTCTCATTTAGTTTTGCACCTCATGAATTCTAAAATGAAACCTAAAATAAAGCATCAAAAACATAAATGTTGAGTCAAAATATAAATCACATGGAAGACAATTTACAAAATGTTTCTAACTTGGAGTGACTCGCAGATTATGAGTGCATCACAACTATGATAGATAATAAAAAGATATAAGGTAATTTCTCCAAATTTCAAACATTTGTGATTCAAAAAACACATTTTCTTTTTTTTCTGACATGCAGACTGGACAGTGAGAGTGAGAGAGACAGAGAGAAAGGTCTTCCTTTACCATTGGTTCACCCTCCAATGGCCGCTGCGGCCAGCGTAACGTGCTGATCTGAAGCCAGGAGCCAGGTGCTTCTCCTGGTCTCCCATGTAGGTGCAGGACCCAAGCACTTGGTCCTCCACTGCACTCCCGGGCCACAGCAGAGAACTGGACTGGAAGAGGGGCAACCGGCAGAATCCGGCACCCCGACTGGGACTAGAACCCGGGGTGCCGACGCAGCAGATGGAGGTTAGCCTATTAAGCTGCAGCATTGGCCAAAACACATTTTCAATGTGAAAAAACATCACACAGATTCAGAAAAATATTTTAAAATCATGTATCTAACAAGATCTCTGTCCACAAAATATAAGGAACACTTACAACTGAATAATAGGAAAATGAACAACTCAACCAACCAGGAGTCAAATATTCAAATGTGCATCTCTTCTAAGATAAGCCCAGAAAAAGTTGCTCAACATCATCTGGACCCAGGGAAAAGCAAATGGAAGCCACAGTGTGAACCAACTCTCCCCTACTTGAGTGGCAGGAGTTTAAACAATGGGGAGGAACCAGAGTTATAAAGGATATGGACAAACAGACCTCACCCATTGATGGTGAGAGTGTGAAATGGTGCAGCCACTGTAGTGTTCAAGCAGTTGTCCCCAAATGGAGATATGAAGAGTTACTGTCGGACTCAGCTACTCCATTCCTAGCTCATACTCAAGATGACTGAAAATACTTGTACCTAGACAAAAGTACCCAGGTAGACATAAGTTGGTATCTGTTAATAAGAACCTAGGATATAAATGGGTTAAATTCTCCACTAAAGGATACCGACTGGCTGAATGGATAAAGACCAACACTCAAGATACTGCCTGGAAGAAGCCCATTTCAGACACACATTACATCAGGATAAAAGAATCTGTCAGAAAGAGCATCTAACAACTGGAAATACATACATGCACCTGAAAACAACACCACCTAAGCATGGAATACAAACAATATTGGTTCTAAAGGGAGGTAGAGACCCCACAACAATAGGAGCTGGGGACTTCACCATCAGGTTATCTAGGCAGTCTAGAAGCACTAGACTTACGAAGTGCTACAAACCAAACGGACTCATCATTTGTGGAACGCTGCCTCTGGATCCTCAACTGCAAGACAGTGCTTAACCACAGAACCTAACTCTATCACTTTTGGGAAGAACAAATTGATTAAATGAAAAGAACATGGAAGAAAACCTGGTCATAACGAGCACACAACATACTCATCAATGCTGTGGGTGATTCATATTGGTATTAAAAAAGAAATCAAAACAGAAGAAAGACTGAAATCTAAGACCTGAGCCTTTGAAACAATTAGAAGAAAACACAGGGGAACTGCTTCCGGACAGTGCTACGGGCAAGGATTTCTTAGATCAGATCCCAAGAGCACAGCATACCAAGCCAACTAGCGGACAAATGGGATTTCACAAATTAAACAGCTTCGCACACCAAAGGGAACAATATGTGCCAGCCAACATCTGGCATAGCAGTTAGTAAAGTCAATATAAAACACAACTAACAGCAAAAGCAAAAAACAACAATAAGTAAGTCAGATTAAAAATGGCCATAGATAGAAATTGACATTTCTTAAAGGAAGACATCTCACTGGTTCTATTCCACAGCACAGGGGGGACTACAGATACTGTGAAATACTGTACAAAAGTGCTGAACACTAAACTCAGAGAGATACAAAGCAAAACCACAATGGGATACCAAGAGATGAAAGATAACAAGTGAGGATGTCTGTGGAGGGGAGGGAACACTTGGCACTCTGTGGGTGCGAATGAAGAATTGCAAAGCAGCAAGGAAGTTGCTCAATAAACAGAAACTACAGCCACCATCCAGTCCAGCAATCCCACCTGGTGTACATCGAAGGGAAAGGAAGTTAAGTCTGTGGAAGAGAGATCTGTGCCCCTAATTTTACTGCAGTCCTGTTCCCAGTAGCTAAGGAATGCAAACAACCTACACATCCATCCACCATGGATGGAAAAAGAAAAAAAGGGGTACGTGTACACATAGGAATACTACTCGGCTATAAAAGGTTGAAATCTTGTCATTTGTGGTACCATGGGAGGATCTGGAAATCACTGGGTTAAGTGAAATCAACCAAGCACAGAAAGACAAATACCACATGACCTCACTCACGCGTGGAATCTGCAAAGTGGTGATGCCCTGGAGGCTCAGGGCACAACGGCAGTTGTCAGAGGCCGGGAGGCAGGGACGAGGGCAGTGGGCAGCGACGGACTAGTGT